GGCCTGTGCAAAACCTCTATCCCAGTGGTGGTAAGAGAACCACCGGGATTGAGGCTTTGTCTGGTGGGCCGCTCCATCTATTGGTGGGGAGCCTCACCTACTGGAAACCGGGTCCAGCGTCCCTTAGATACATCTTTCTCTTTTTCACCATTGAGTCTGACACCACAGTGCTGGAAACCGGGTCCAGCGTCCCATGTCCGGCTTATAACATCCCTGCCTACCCTGAGGTGTGGTCGGGTGTGGGGGGGGCCACTGGGGGGCACTGGTGGAGACTCCCTCCGAAACCCAGCCCTACCCACCATCTACTGTCCTCGTGGTGCAGGTAAAATGAGGAGGTAAGATGAAGGGAAAATGAGAAGCAGAATGAGAAGTGAATGAGAAGTGAAATGAGCAGTAAATGAGAAGTAAATGAGAAGTAAAAAGAACCGGAAAAGGACTGAGAAATCTTGCAGGAATATATGACAATGAATAGTCTGGAGAGGCCGAGATAAGACTGAAATGGACTGTAGTAAGACTGGAGGACGGCTGAACAATACTGAACAAAAAAACAGATGCTAAACAACCTCAAAGGGAAGACTGAACAAGGCCGATCAAGCTCATGACTCAGGTGGCACTTCCTCCAAGGACAAGGGGTGGGGGGGGAAGGGGTCTGCAAAATCCTGGGCGGGCTGTAACGGGACTCCCTGATCTACCTTAGTCCAATCGTGGAAAACCAAACGATAATCTCTTTCAAGCTCAACCGGGTGTTCCTCGTGCAGATCTCTCTCCAATTGCTGATCCCCGGCCCACCTTACCTCCGCCACCCAACCCCCCCTTTCCCCTCCCAACCAGTCCTTGCCAAAGCGGGAGATGATTCGGTGAATATCTCCCCAGGTATGCGTTTGGTCGAGTTTGTCTTTTGTCGTCCTCCACTGGGTTGTGAGTTCGTGCTGTACTAATAGCCGTAAGTGTTCCGTGACCTCTCCATCCTCCACCCTTGCTCCTTCCACCTCTAGGATGCATCTCCTCCACCATATGACCCATAGGACAGTGCGTCTTCCTAGGTGAAACATGTTTTCCTCAAATGTGTTCCCTTGGCTCTGGGGGTAGTACCCCAGGAGTATGGCCCTCCAGTCCCAAGGCCACTACGCTGCCGGGACAATATGCCGCCGAATCCTATCCCAGCTTCTCCACAGTAATACCGCCGCCGGGCATTGGAGGAAGATGTGTTCTATTGTCTCAGCGCGCTTCCGCCGGGGGTAGCACTGAAGACATTTGTCGCACCACGGTAATGCTCGTCCCTGCTGTTCTAGGCGTGTGTGCTCTATCAACCAATCATTGGTAGGCAGGCATCGATGTTCTATTTGCCACTGCAGGGCAGAGATTTTGGCCGGTCTCTTTCCATAGTGAGCGAACCATCAACCTTCGCTCGATATTGAGGTGGCGGTACCATCTATCTTCTACTAACTCTCGCAGTCTACGTTTGGGCCGGAGCATTTGATGAACCGATTTAGATTTCAGATTGACTGATGTTAATGCCTTTGCCTTCCCCCTACGGATCCTAGCTTCTTGAGACCATCTCCATTCCTCCGGGTCGAAAGGGAGATCTTCGATGGGGGTCGTTGGTCGGTATGCCCTCCATCCTCTTCCCTCATCAAGTACTCTAATGCGATATGCATCCTTTTTCTCTGTCCATATAAAGGGTTGTTGGTCCCACTGTAAGCTATCATCCTCCTGGATAGAAAAGACTTCGATCAGCGCTTGTGCTGGATGGGCGAGGTGCAAGCGCCCCACATGCTTATCATGTTTGGGCAGTCCTACCCAGTCCCCTTCTTTTAGGCAAGGACCTTTTTGGAGGGTGATGTACCAATGAAGAAGGAAGCTTTCGATGAGTTTTTTCAGGGCGGGTTCTGTGAAGTGATAGTACCGCAGCCATGTACGCATTCGTTCTGTGTTTTTCCAGCGCCTTTCCTCTGTGTCCCAAAAATCCCCTACCCTCCGGACCCCGTGTTTCACCCAACCCTTCCATGGGGAATCTGAACTACACCTCACGCGGCCCACTGAGTCCGTAATCAGTCGATTTCCGAACAAGGGTTGTCTGAAGATATCTTCCCATATGTCTGGGGTCTGTCGGTCGGGGGGGGGGAGCTTCCTCCATGTTCGCAGGAGGCGCGACCACTATTTATCCGTGGGATCCCCATTTCGATATTTCCTAGGTAGCTTCCAATATCTGTCCTCGAGCCATACCAGGGGGTCGATTTGAGGCGGAACTTGTGGGGCCAGGGCTGCAATTTGCTCTAGGGCTAAGGGAACCCATGCAGAGGCTGATGAGAAGATAATGTGTTGGAGCCAACGAAACGTGAGCGTCGTGAGGGTCTGGAACTGTGTAGCCGGGTCCACAATCCCCAACCCTCCTCTGACCTTAGGTTGAATCACCGATTCCCATGCTACTCGACTGATGGCGTGGGGGTTTTTACTATCCCCTCTCCACAGAAATGCCGCCAACTGCTGCTTCAATGTTTTGAGCCCTCCATTGCTCATGGGCCATAGAATGGCTTTGTACCAAAGTGTAGCGAGTACTGCATTGTTAATTACCAGAGCCCGCCCCAAGATGGAGGTGTGTTTGTTGTTCCAACTTTGTAGCTTGGCCTCTGCCGGTCGTGTCAGCCACTCATCATTGTTCACTGGTTCACCCTTAGCTGTAACTAGGGCCCCAAAAAACCTAAGAGGCTCTTCTGGGGGGAGCTAGGTGACTCGTGGGTTTTCGGGTGGCCTTCC